GCAAGAACTAGAGCTCCTGGGTTTCCGAGGACTCGATGGACTCCGAGAGTCTGGCCACAACTCGGGTCAGGGCCCTGTTTTCAGCCTGCAGTTGCTCGTTCATCTGCTTCAAGGTTTGAATCTGTTTTAGCTGGTGGAGGTTCTGTAGAGAGTGAAACGTGGAGGGGACAGACAGACAAGACAGAGAGAGACAAGACAGACCAGAGGAGATAAAAGTAGGACAAAGAAATCACATGACTTTTTGTTTTTGTTTTTAGTTTGCATGCAAGAAAGGAAATGAGAAAGGAGGAGTAATGGTGGGGGTGGGGAGGAGGGCAGGGCACGGCTAATGGAGAAATCCCAGCAAAGGGGAGCTGTGGTTCTCGGCTGCGGTCTGACTATGCTGAAGGTCAGCCATGAGGCTCTCAGGAAGCACACTAGGAGGCTCTTGGGAATGACAGCCCACTGTGGGGCTCGGGGCCTTCTGCACTGAGTGACCGCCTGGGCTGCGGCCTCGGGGACCTTCACCGTCGCCATCACTGTGCTGGAGTTGAGGGTTCAGTGCTGCTAAAGCCGGCTGCTGTCCCTCTCTCTCCCCTCTCCACCTCCTCCCCCTAGACTTGGCCCCCTACTCCCACTTGTTTTCTTCTGGGTCCTCTTCTTACCTCATTAATTTTTTTATTTTTAAAAATAAAACAAGGAAAATAAAAAAGAGGCCTGTTGTTTTAAGTACTTTCTGTACATGGCATGTACTGTTTAGAAGGCTGAAGTGACACATACCAAAATAAGAAAGTGGCAGCTGCCTGGACGGCCATCTAGCCTTTGTGGGAACCTCATGAGCCCCAAGAGCGCTCCTCTGCAGTCCACACGCTTGTTCCCCGCCCCAAGAACCGCTAGCCCGCCCTGGCTTACCACATGATCATCTGCACGCAGAACTCATGGCCCGCCGGGCTCGCTCTGCCCGGCTCACGAAGGCGGGTCACTTAAGGTGCCCACTTACAGACTCACACTCTGGGAAGTATGGCTGAACATAAAAGTTGGAGGAAAACGTCCAACAATACTGGAATCGATTGGACTGACATACTAGTCCAGACCTTACTATCTGTTAGTGTTGCAAATGGAACAGAATAACAGAATGCTGGACATTCTTCCCAATACCTCATATTTCTTAAAGGCCCTAAACATTCCAATAGATGGCATTGTGTCTCAGGTCTAATTACTGCTACTTGTCCCTCCTCAGTGGTCATCTGCACTGACCCTGGCACTGAGCCATCAGCTCTTTGGGAAGAGGCAAATATTTATTATGTGAATGTGCTTCACAGATGAAGACAGACAATCCTGTGGGTTAGAATGACTAGAGAAAGGTCTACAGGTACCAGAGAAAAGTCTCTCCTACCCATACAGGTGAGAAAGATGGAAATGGAAGATGAGTGGGGTTGCAGGCCTTCGGGAGGGAGGAAGCAAGAAAACGAAAGGCGGCACCAGGGCGGGGACAGCAAAAAGGACAGACAAGCAGAGACAAACATTCCCTAAAGAAGGAGAATGACCACCTTAGAAAAACAGCACAGCAGCTGAACACGTCCACGCAGCCATCAAAGGGTAGCGGCCAGGCAATCCCCCTTACCCACGGCGAGCATGCTGGCTGCAGAGAGGACCCGGATCACGGGAGACGGTGGTGCAGCACAGGGAAGAGTTAGGGAGACGGGCAGGGAGCAAACACAAGAGCCGACAGGAGGGCCTGGCTCTCCCCCTCCTCTGGTACTGACATCAGACCAAGGCTTTCAACACAGTGACTGTCATTACGTGACGTGGACCTTGCCCCCTAAGGGAGCCTCCTAGGGAACGATACTGAAGTCAGGAACTATGCAAGTGACTCAGGCTGACATGTGAGTACAAGCAGACGGAGGTGGAAGAATGTGGAAGTTACCAGCACGAGGGAGAGGCAGGAGACAACCAGGTGGGCTGTTCACAGGGAGCAGTAAGGAAAACAGGCACAACGAGGAGACGGAGAGGGGGACGGGGTACTGAGCAGGGTGGGTGAGGGCAGGGCTTAGGGGCAGGAGCAGCTAGTGATATTTCCAGGGTAAGTAAAATAAAAATTCCAAGACCAGTCTACAAGAGGATTGCTGCTGGGCCTCTCTTATTCAAGGACCTGGGAAAGGAAGAGGACGAGGTCTGAAAAGGAGGCTGATGCTGAATGGAGGATGCAGTAGAAAAGTAGCCAGGCCTCATGTGGGCACGTCCCAGGACCAAGTGCAGACCTACGCTGACATGCACACCTGTCAGAGGCTGGCCTACAGTCCTACTCCAATCCAGGATCCAGGTGGAGTTTCTCCAGGGAGGAATTCATAAATACCTTTCCAAGCAAAGGCCAGAATGGCACAACTCACGTCACAACCGTGGAGCCCCACAAACATCTGAGGGAGCCCATCTCATGGGTTCCCATCTTACGTGGCTTTTATGCTTCCTTTGCCAGAGTCACTTTCTGTCCTTGAGCACCTACTAGACTTTAGGACTCACAGGAGGTCAGCCCTCAACCTGCTCCCTACAGGTTGCTCCAGGGTTGAGCATCTGTATAAAATGATACACAAGCAGCACAGGGTCCAACTGGTTCTTAGCATTACTGAGTCCCCACTGGACAGGACAGTTACCTATAGTGTTGGCTGGCTACCTGGAAAGGACACACAGATTTTGGCTACTGAGCACAGAGATGCTGGTCCCTGTAAAATACAGTCTGGAGTCATGAAGGGCATGACAGCTAATCAAGCACTTCCTTAGACTCCTTTAGGGCCAGGCACACCAACTTTATGATGTTTGTATGGACATATCTGAAGGTTTTGCCTCCAGAGAAGGTACAGACACAAACATAAAACTGGTGCTGATGGGGGACACCCCCCCTTAGTCCTCCAGGGGAAGCTGGTTGGTTTGTAAACCTGGTATTAGGCTTTGGTTTGAGCAAAGGCTGTTTAGGGGCCTTAGAACTTATAGGTTCTTCTTCTCCACTTGGCTCCGTTGTTGGTAACAGAGGACAGTGGCGTGGGTGTTTGGTAACTGAGAAAAAAAAATTCACTTTCACCTCAGCATACCTACTGGTTTGGGTCCTAAATAGTCATGATCTGGCTCCACTTGATGATCTAAACAACTGAATTTGAAGTTTTCTGGCAAATGACTTAGGGCTGAGGGAGCAAACGCCTTTATGCATTATAACCTCTGCTGAGGAAAGAAAAGAACTCATGACCTAGTTTAGGAAGCCACAGCTCAGGATAAGAAGACAGACAGAAATATGTAAGCATGTCTCAAGCAACTAGTACCACTGAAGGGGCTCCCATATTTGCTGATTTAGAATTGGAATAGAAATACAAAAGGACCTCAATGGCTCTGCTTTTGAACGTTCTGGGTCTTTGTGTGGGGGCCTGAGTGGATGTCACAGACAGTTCTGTGACTAGTGGGTATGGGTTGGCTTTGGGTTTCTGGGTACTCATTAGAAGGCACCAGCTTTGGCCTCATTTATATGCTGCTGATCGGTACTTAGGCGATTTCTTAATGAGCATAACCGACAGCTGCCTAACAGCAGAGAATAGGTGGCATAACTCAAGGGGCTTCAACCATGGAGGTGCCCCCAGTGCAAGCCAGAGCTGGGGGTGCAGTTCAGCCCCACTGACATCCTGCTCCAAAGGGGAGAGAACGCATCTGTACGGTAGGTGAGGTGGGTTTGGAAAAACCACAGGATGGAGAAGCTAGTGTCGTTAGGTCATACTGTTTTTACCATCTCAGGAGAATCAACCTTTTATTATTTCTACTTGCTGTTTAAATCAACTTGAAAGATCACTGTTTGAGATACAAGTAGGTCCTGACTGAAATTCTTCGAGAATGTGAGCAGTTCAGCCTCGGGGTGGTGAACACAGAGTGTGCAGGCAGGACTTGCTGGCGCTCCTTCCTTCTGGAATTGCAGGGCCACAGGACTGTGAGCACTGGTTCTGGGGTAAACTTTGGTCTTGTGCGTCCTAAAAAAATCTTCTCAGCAAATCTTTTTAGGCCACTGGCACAATGAATGTCTCTCCCAAAGTGCTCCTGTCGCCTGTTAGGGCTGCTTGCTCACAGAGGGACATCTGAGGACCTGCCTCACTGCCCCCCAGGGCTTCTGGTTCCCAGAGGAACACTTTGTATCTATAGCCGTTAAAGTAAGATCCTGAAGAAAGCAAAAAGGCTGGGCAAGTGCTAACCAACTGTGGGCGTGTGGCATCACGCACCGCAGGGCTCCGATGCTCCAGGGCCACACCCGGGTGGCTCTCCTGAGTGGCTCTATACCCCCTTTCCACAGCAAGGAGCAGATTCCTTTGGGTAGCATGCCAGTTCCTGACTCTCGAACCTGCCCAGGATGGCAACTGGTCATTAAATTGGCTAACGGAGGTGACGGTCACTGCAGGTCATGGTGAGGGGAGAGAGAACAGCGAGCCATGAGCGTAACTGGTGGCATGAGCTCATTCTAGGTAGAGGTGCCAAATACGACTATTTCAGGAGAAATGGACTGGGGTAGGAACTCAGTATGTGAATCAATCTTCTGCTGCAGAATGACTCAAACTGTGTTCTTTCTAGCAAAGGGCTGAGATGGGGACGAACGAGGGAGGAAAGCATCTGGCTGGGCTAAGAATTCCTGGACACCCAACCCGAGGCCTAGAGAGACTGCTTAGCATTCTCGTCTAGACCCTTGACAGTGAAGCCACTGCTTGGGAAACCTTGAAAGAACAAGTGGGGTTTGTCTCCAGCCTGCTAGAGGCCCCCCTGAAACCGAAGGCATTATCTGTTCCCAGAAAGGCTCTGAGGGGCCTCCAGGGGATGTCGTGTGGACGCAGCCTGCGCAGTGGCTGAGGACACGCGCTCGCCTCTCCTCACCCATCATTCTTCTTGAGGGAGTTGAGTGTGTGGTGAAATTTGGAGGGGCAGGCCTAGGCTCATCCGCCCAGCCCTGGCGGTCGTTTGGGGAACAGGCACACAAAGGGTGAAAGGAAATCTCTCCATACCTTCATCTCTTCCTCCATCTCCGACATCTTCCGCTCCAAGGCTCGCCTCTCCTGTTTAAAAACAATGAGACCACTGAACATTTATCAGGTTTAGAAAGCAGTCAAAATGCTGCCTTCCCAGCTGCCACGTGATCAGCAGCTCCACGACTCAGGGAAATCTTACGCAGGAGATGCCAGCACTATGTGATGCTGCCACTGGTGGGATGGAACTACGTCACCGACAACAGTCACATCATCCAAATCTTCCGGACAATTAGAAGATAATGGGGAAGCAACTGGTTAATATGCAGACAGAACAAGACCAAGGCACTCTGAGCAATTCGGGGGATTGAAGATTTCATAGAATTTTAAATGACTGCAAGTGATCAGGACCCTTGATCTCTAATAACAAGAAGGCATCGTAACCTTCAGCAATGCCCCCCACCCCAATTCCTAGGGACTGCTTTTCTCACGCTGGGGAGCAGCTGGTCAGAAGGCAAACAGCATTGGCTGTGGAGAAACAGCCCTGCCGCAATCCCATTTCTCTCACCCAGTAACTGACTGCTGATTCGGCCTGAACCCAGTGAAGATTCCTTGGTTAGACGAGATATCAAGGAGGTTCTGTTGGAGGCCAAGGGAATAAAATATAAAACTTGGCTGCTTTCCAAATTAAACAGGAGAGATGGGAAAATATACTCCTAGGGTCAAATCAAAGGTAGGGGACAGCAATAAATCTGAGTTTTCCTTAATCCAAGAATATTCAGAATGCAGTAGGAAGGAGGTCAGCAATTAAACCAGAAATCCTCCCCCCAGTCAGAGAGAATGAAAGACTCTGCTGGCTCCTAAATCAATGGCAGAGGGTCCTGCTCAAAGCTTTCTTTCTGTTCAAGGTGAAGGGAAGGGTAAAGAAGCCTTGGTCGTGTGTGTGCGTGTGTGTGCGTGCGTGCGTGTGCGTGCATGTGCTTGTGTGTGCGCGTGTGCGTGCATGCATGTGCGTGTGCGCGTGTGTGTGCGCGCGCGCGCGTGTGCGCGTGTGTGTGTGCATGTGTGTGTGCGTGTGCGTGTGTGTGTGCAGGCAGTTCTGCTCTGAGGCAGAACCAATGTACGGAATGACCTTCCAAGGACCTTCCCACCCTGAGCCTGGAATATGTGAACGGCACTGACCCTCTGAGGAAGCCAAAGGGACTAGCGATCAAACTGCCGTCCAGAGTCGGCCAAAAAGAATTTATCACCAAGCTGGGAATGGAACGTGGCAGAACGCCCTCCTTCTTAAGACGAACTTTTTCCATTGGCATGAACAACAAAGTTATAGAAACTCAGAAAGAGATGAAACAGAGGAGAAAGAGACACACACATACCCGTTTCTCCATCTCCAGCACAGACGACCGGTCAGAGGCCTTCTCCTGCTTCTGCTAGAGCCAACGGAAGGGACATGGCGTTACTTCAGTTGTCCCAGGGCCAGAAGAAGGCCGGTCTAGTTGAGCTTCACCATCAGACACCCAGAAATAGACACCACCATAGCAGGGGCCCCTAAAAAACAGATTCTGGTAGATCTCTAAGCCTAATATTATTGCCTCTGAAGTTTGCAGGATTCCCACTGGGGAGGGGAAGGCAGTAGTAACACTCTGACATCTACAACAGTCAGAAACACAAAGACATCACCACAACACACACACACACACAGGAACACCTGCTAGAGGTCTTCAGTGCCAACTACCTTCCCATTACCTCACCACTCCCACCCTCTTCTTTCATGTGAGTAACTCACAACCCGGAGGAAAGGACAGTGGCTTTTCTTCCTGAAGAGGCTGGGACTCGTGAGCTGGAGTGTCTGAGCCCCATGCACTCACCTGAGCTCTCCTGTGCACTCGGTTCCGCTTGGGGAGCCGAGGCCATCTCTCTTTGAGAGCAGTGGCGTCACAGTTCCACTCTGTCTGTTTTATATACTGGGCTTCCAGGGAAGGTAAGTTTTTGTTTGAGTAAAAGATTAGAACTTTACTTCAGGTCATCTTTTGATTTTCAATATAAATTATGCAGAGGGGCTAAAAAGATTTAGCTCCCACAGCTAATAAGTAGAGTGACTTCATGTAATGACTCTTAAACAGGGTAAGGGAATGAGTCCTTAAGTTCCCTCTGGCCTCAGCACCAGAGAATTAGACAGAATTTCTTACATTCCATAGAATTTAATAAGTACAAGGTGATTATTTTTATTTTGCCTATTACCATGCACAGGCCATTTAATAAATGCAGACATTACGCTGGTCTTCTCACAGAGGTTTCTTTTTAAAGAAAATTAAGGAAAAGTTAAAACTAACAGTATAACTTGAATTTCTGGCTCTTGTCCTGGGCTTTCACTTCTGTTCTGAAGATCATGGCTGTCTGCCTTTACGATGAATCTACTACGAAGCAGAAGTTAAAGAAAAAAGGCAGAAATAGATCCTGTAGCATGTTTATGTCCTCACAAGTCTCTCTTCCCTAAGCCTGAGAAGCACAGAAGCTGTGATGATTTCACTGTTTTCACTTAGTTCACTCATACAAAATAAACTTAACTTAGTTCCCTTCTACAAAGAATTGGTTTGTTTTTTTAATCTTTACCCCCATAGAGTTTGGGTGAACCTTTTATGTAAAAACGTTACGTGTGTCCATGTGGTAACTGTCTCCCTACAAATGTGTGAGGCTAACGGGCCCTCCTCCAACCACTGTCCTGCCAAATGACTCCATTTTTGGTAAATAGCAGAGACTTAGTTTGTAGCATCACTACTTCTGAATTTCAACAGCTTGTAGTTGGCAAAACTAAGTATATTCGACACCCCAGCAGAGTAGTTGGTTAGCAAGTGGATGCTTTTCCCCAGTGACTGGAAAGGCTGATTTTATTTTCAATGTCCTCTGTGCAAGCTGATGTCGGCAGCCTGTCAGACTGCTTCTCTGAAACACTGGCGTGAGGAAAAGCCAGGAACCTGTAAAGGGCATGAAATGTGCTGTCCGAGCCTCTGCTGGGGAAAGAGTGGCAAGCAGGTGGGTCCCCTTGTGGCTCCTCACATGACTCTGCCCTGATTCTCTGTAAAACAGCCCATACTACCTGATGAGAACCAGCACATGATCTGTATTTGTTAACCACTGCCAATTTGTGACACTGGTCAGAATAAAAATTGGCCGCAGATACCTTCTGAGGGTCTACCGTGAAAAGCACATTTTGCCTGGCTCAGAAATGGTGGGGTCAAAGAGCCTGTAAGGTCCACAGCCTTGTGGCAAGTTATACCTAAGTGTGCATATATTTTTTGTTTTCATATTGAGACTTATGTTCCTTGTTCCACTAAATCGCTTTAAGCCCAGTTGTCACCTGTGCTTCAGTAGGTCTTAGAAACTCCCAGCACTAGAGCCACACTCAGCTACTATAACCAGGCAAAGTGGGGTGCCTCTTCCAGACTGGCAGGCAGCTCACAGGATGGGTCACCCATTTTGTGGCCTTCTCCAGAAAATGTGGGTGTCCTGGCTGTCCTGCTGGGATCCCTGCAGTTTTGGGGTCCTGTCTTGCAAGTGTTGGCACCCCCTTGCTCACCCCATTCCAGAAGGGTTGTGACAATATGTTCAGAGGATACTCCACCCCTCTCCCGGCCAAACCCCATGCAGCAGCCCTAGCATTTCAGTCTTTCCTTTGGGTGATATCATACAGCCAGAACAACTAGGCATCTCTGGTTTTCATTTATGCTTTCCTCGTAAAAAGTCATTTTTACCTCAGTTTAGCTTTCAAAATTCTTAGTCCCCAGGCATTCCAGGAGGGCAATAACTCAACAGGTTTCCTGTTCACTCAGCAATAACCTCAGACAGCACTGGCTTCAGCTTGCAGCTGGCAGGGTTTGTTTCACTGGGAAAGAGGCTATTACCTCAAAGCATTGCCTAATTAAATCAGGCCTGGCGGTAAAAGGAAATGATTTATCTGGTCTTTCTGTCACTAATGTTCCTAATTCCTAGGCCTAAAGACAGTGGTGGCTTGGGGAGGTAACATACGCCACAGGACAGAATCTCTGCACTGGGACTCGATCCTGTGTTGTAATGAAACCCTGCCCTTGATCGTTACATGACCCAAGCAAACCACTCGTTCGCTAGGCCTGCTTTATGCCTTTCTGCACTAGGTTTAATAGTGTCTTGCTCAGCCCTCTCTAGGAGGTGACGTGTGGAGAAACTGAACTGAAATATGGTAAGTAAAACAGGAGACTTTATCTAGGACTAACCCTGTTAACAGGTTAAAGGGTTGATACTTTTCTACTGAGAAAAAAGCAGATAATCCATGATATTAATCAGCAGCATTCAGGCCAGCAGGAATTGTTCCCTGAACTATCAACTTCCCACTTTAAGTGCTGATTGAACCCTCAATTCAAATTAGAATCTGTGAGGCTTCTACCTCCCCGCCTCGGAGGAGGGCCAGGCGCGCCTCCGCCTTACCTCCCACCGCTGGGTCAGCGCGGCTCCGCCCATTCGGCCGCGTCACCAGCTGCTTCTTCCCCCTTACCTGGGCCGCCCTCTCAAGCTTGGACTTTACATCTGCCAGCTCCAGCTGGGCCTCCTGAAGTTTCGTTTTCAGTTTTTGGTTTTCAGTCAGGGCACTCTCATAGAGCTGGGGTGAGGAGGAAAGGGAACCAGGTCAGCTAATCGGCAGGGCTCCAGGATTCGGACCCACGCGGTCTCATCGCATGGGGAGGCCCAGGGCTCTCTGCTCCAAACCACCATCGTGGGGCAGATGGGGAAGACGGAGGAAGTCTAGGAAACAACACACTCTGCCATCTGGTCTTGTGCTTCTTAACATCAGTGCAGTCCCAGGGGCCGGACACAGAGAATACTGCTCCAATTTCAATACTGTTCATCTCGGGGGCTGGGGGGCAGGTGGTGAGCAGGGGATAGTCATTCCATTTTCTCCTACAGGGCATTTGCATTGCTTAAAAATGTTGTTTGCATGCAAAAGAGAATATTTTCTTGGAGCCAGCCTAGTGTGTGTATTATCAAGTTCTGCTTAACAAAATAAACATTTTCTTAACAAAAACGTTTTTTCCTTGGCATCTCAAGCACTTGAAAGAGAAGGTGTTCAAGGCCCCTGGAGCTGGGTGCTCTGCTGCAAGAGGCCAAGGGAGCTGCGCAACGATTAAAACCCCTCCCCCCGGATCATCACTGCTGCCTCCTTTCAGCGCGGAGTATTCGGTCGGTAGCCACGGGACCTCGGTCAACTATCTGGTATCCGGGCCTCTGATGCAGGGCCCGTCCCATGGTTCTCCGGGGCTCACACAAACAGCATGACTTTTATATCCTCTTTCTATAATTCTTCATTCTTTTCCTACACCTCTAAACGTCTGACTCAAGGCACTAAAAACAATACATGGGTCTTATTTCGCTGGCAGAGAGGTAGAACAAACCAGGAAAACTGGGAGGAACCGTTACTATTTATCATTTACGCACCCTTCATTCTGCTTCATCGGAAATACACTCACTTTCTTCACACTGGGGAAAAGGTTGAGAGGCTTATGTGTTATAATCCAAGAACAGGAAATCGAAAAAAGACCCTACTTTTTTATAATCCTTGTTGCTGTCCTCTTCCACACGGCCGGTCAGGGTGGCCAGGCGGGCCTCCCGGGCCTCCCGGCGGGCTCTTGCTGAAGCCCGGTCACCATAAGAATCACTGGTTGTAGGGTTACTACCTCCCGATTCCAACCTGCAGGAGACACATTAAAGGTGAAAACTGGTGTTAAGAACAAAGAGGTAGGGGGAAGGCAATTTAAGCATGTAAGCATGGTTTTCTAGGAAGCACTTGAGAGTTCTGGCCAGAAGCGACGCACAACATTCCTTCCTTGAATCCCTCTCAGCTGGCATTCTCGGACCTCACGGCTGAGCTGCGCCAACTTGAGGAAGGAGGCTGCTGTATGCCAAGAACGGAGCTTACTTGAAAAACTGGTGGTTTGGACCCATGAGCTGACTTAAATCTCAGAGCTTTTCAAATTAGTTTAGGGTTGAACAGCTTCCTTCTAGAGTGTGCTTTTAAAAGCAGAAGTTTCTTAGATCCCAATGGCTCATGGAAAATATTCCAATGGCCTCTCAATGAATCAGAAACACATGGACTTGGTGTTCTGAGCTGAAGGTGAGTGAGGGACTGATGGCAGCCAGACCATGGTACTTATGCTTGCCAGGCGCACTGCGGCACCATGGGCACCTGACGTTTCAGGGACACCACAACAGTGCCAAACAGCTGGTTTTCTACCCCCCTGTCCATGTTTCACATCCAGACTGTTATGCCTGTGACTGGGAGTTCTACATCTTTTAGCAAGCAGGCTCTCAGTTGATGGTGGTTTTTTTTTCCAATACTGGTTAAGTCACCTCCATGGAAGGGTCTCTCAGCTGATCACCTGTTGAAGTGTACAACTATCAGTCACCCTGATCCTTAACACTGGTTTCGACTGCTCTTGACTCTGCTCTTTGCAAACTAAAATGTGGCGTGTGAAACCGCTGCGTATAAACCAGCCCTGTGGACCCTACATGCCTGAACTGGGGGGGCTTTAAGAGCCACAGCTGTGAGACTTCCACCTGATGTCTGTCCCGTGCAGCTCCTGCCGAAGCTGGGGGCAGGGGGCCAGGATAAGCGTTAGGAGGGGTAGAAGGGTGAGAGGGATGACACGGGGGGAGGGGTGGGTGGCAAAGTGCCTGGTGACGCTGACAGCCCCATTTTTCTTACAGAGACGCTGAGTCCTATAACATTCTTCACAACAGTTTTTATCTTCTTATACTAAAAAAAAAATTTTGTACATAGAGATCTCTATATGGACTTCCCTGATTACCAAAGCAATACTGGCATGCAGAAAAATTTTAGTACCAAAGTGCTCTAAAATAGAAAATAAGTCACCCCATAATCCTGCCCAAGAAATAACCATTATTTATTAACAATTTACAATTTAGTTCATATCCTTGCAGGATGTTAAACACATAAATATGCTAAAAAATGTATTTCTATAAATACAATCAGATAATACATTCTGCTTTCTAACTTTTCCTGCTCCCCTCTACACCTGCCACTATGACCGTAGGCATCTCATCATGTAAGGAAAAGCAGACTTGCCCCTTTTTTTTTAAATGACAGTGTAGTCCTCCATTGTATGGCTGTATGATAATTCATCTTCTATTGATACGTACTTACATTGTTTTGAATATTTTAGTTACTATAAATAATGCTACAATGAGAAGTCAGGTATAAATCTTAGTGCATTTGTCCAATTATTTTCAAAGGACAAGATCTTAGGAGTGGCATTGTTCGGTCAGGGGCATATGTATTTTAAATGTTGATATACATAGACTGCCCTCCAGAGAGGTTTAATCCTTTCCACTCCAACAGAAGAAATATCTCGTTGTTAATTTTAATATTTTTAAATCGTTAAGGAGGTTCAATATCTTCGGTCAATTATCTTTGTTTCTGAATTGCTTATTCATAGCCTTTGTTGATCTTTTTCTTGTTACATTGTGGGAGTGCCCTATACAGTAAGGCTTTCAAAACTAACATAGGTGGCAAATATTTTTTCCCACTTCAATTTTATCTCTGTTTATGGTCTCTTTTCCTAGCAGAGATTTAAATCTTTATTTCATTAAATTTGATAATTTTTACCTTTAAGATATCATGCTTGGGAAAGTCTTTTCCATAAAAAGATCATAGAATATTCTCTTCCACTACTTTTGCAGTAATCTGGGGGTGGTTTTGCTTTTTTGTTTTGTGTTTTGTTTTTGGGTGTGGCTCGAGGAGAAGGATCTATTTGCCTAAATAGAGGGCCAGCTGTCCCATTGATCAGTTATTAAATAATTCTTTTCCCACTGAGTTGAAAAGTCATCTTATTAAATATATGACTTTTGGGGGCTATCTATTGTGTTCCATCAATATCTTTGTTTATTCTTGAACTAGTAACTCATTGCTTTAATCACTACAATCTTATAGCATATTTTGAAACTTGTAGGAAAAGTTTCTTTTCATAAATAGCCATTATAATGTAACAGAGTTCACAAAAAATTAACTATAGCAAAATACCACTTGCCACCAATTTTATAAAACTAATTTTCTGCTAGGTTAAATGTAAATTATTTATCCTCTGCTGGTGCTGGGTGAGAGGGTATGCAGAGGGAGACCACATGTTAACTTGTACATGTTAAAATATATGGATAAGGTACAACCAGGTCAATTATCAAACAAATTATGAGCCTCATCTGCCCAACGCTATTCCGTGACTACATCTTCCCTCAATCTCTTCTTAATTTCTCCATCAGAGGAAGAATGAGAAAAGGAGAGATTCAAACTTCTGGCTCCACAGTCTCTATTATTTTTAGTTTTATTTCTCAGGAAGATCAGTTTTGTACCTTAGATCCTAGGTGAAAAAGTACAGAGAATCATTCCCCAAACTGATATGCTTCCTTGATTTTTTAGCAATTGTGAAACGTCTTTATTTTACTCAGTGAATTATTACTGAACACCATCTAGGTACAAGGAGTTGTGCTGGACCCACTATTAAATGACAGTATTTAAACTCACTCTCACTTCAGGCATCTATTCTCCAATGAAGTCTTCCCCGGATCACCAGCCTGGGTTACCTGCCTCTTCTCTCTGCCCACAGCTCCTGCACATCCTTGTACGGCGGCAGTCCCCATGACAGTATCTTACTCATGTTGTTTCCCTAGCACAGTGCCTTGTACACTGGTGCCCTAAGCAAATTAATGTGGTAAAAGTATACAAAATGAACTGGAAGGAGAATCTGGAGGCAGGAAGGGTGAGTTGAAAAGCTATGGTGTTACTTCTCACGGGAGATAATAAAAGTATGAATTGTGGTGGTTGTGGAAGTGAAAGGGAAGGACAGGCTGCGAGAAGTACTACTATACTATATAAAGTTAAGTTTAACTAGACATGCATTGACTCACAAGTATTAAGCATGCATATAAACAGAGAAAGTTCTTACCTAGAAAGTCTTTCATGCTAGAGAAAGGAAGAGACAAAACAAAACAAAACCAGCATTAGCAAGAGACTAATAATTATTATTTCCACTTATAAATGTACTTTCTAATCAGATATCTCAACTTCACAGTTGAAGGCAGGGTACAACTTAAGAAAAGCAACTCAATGACTGCACACAAGGTTACTTAGGTCTAGTTCACACTTCTCTGCATTCCATGATTCACTAGATTTCAGACGTCTTTTTAAACTGGAAGTAAGCAAAATGTAAAATGATCAAAAACTGCCCCCTCCACCCTGCAACTAACCATCACTGGGTTCTAGGAGTTACTGCCTCTTTGCAATGTTTAGCCTCTCTGGATCTCAATATCCATTCTATGAATTTCCTTCAGTTCACAAATGCCCAACCCTACCCTGAGTGAATACTGCAATTTACAAATATTAGAACTCAGGACACTGCCTGACTTTCTCCCAGATTTCTAGTGAAAGCAGAAGAGTGAGGGTTGGGGGGAGAGGGGAAGTCCCATCCTGGTCCCTAGGATGTTGTTAAAAATTTTTGAAGAATAAGAAAGAACTCTGAGGTCTCAGAAGAAAGGAGTTTTATGGATACAAACTGCAAGCTTGGTTACCTATGGTCATTGTAAACCAACAACAAAAAATTATTATATACGTGTTTTACATTTGTTTTTTTAATCATAGATGTCTTACCCTCTTCACTTTTTTTAAAAGACCTCAGGCAAGTAAAAACTCCAGTTGATTGAATATATTTACTTATTTCCTCTTTTGAACAACAAAATCCTCAGACAGACAAAAGCAGGAAAAAGAGAAACAAGGGCCTAATGCCCTGCACACTGAATGCTGAATCCTTGAATCCTTGAAATACCAGGAGTCACTCAATGCCACTGCTTTGCTGAAGCACTGAACTGTCCCTGGGAGCCAGCGGTTTGTCAGCAAGCACAGTGGGATAGCCCAGTACACGACACCCTAAAGCTGTCCACAGGAAGTACGGTGTGACAGCACAGCTGACTGAAGAGGGACTGAGCAGGTGATCTTGGTAAAAGGTGGCTCTTCTCCATGGAATTCTCTCTAAATCAGGGTTTATATTCATCAGAATTCTCTCATGTGCTTTTTCAAAATGCGTTCATACATTCTAAGCTCAATCTTTGGAGATTCTCTTTCAAAGGGTCTAGAGTAGGGCCTTCTTACACATACTGTGAGAAGTGCCCCAGGAGGTTCTGTTGTATAGGCCCACTAAGCACCACTGCATCAAACAAGGCCTTTTAATGTGAGTATTACAGGGGGTGGATAGCCAGACATGAGCAGGGTGGGGGTTGGGGACTTTGGCTGGTGTTTACATTCAGTTAGATGCTTGTATGTATTCTAAACATTCCGTGTAAACTGTTCTCAGGGGATGTGGGGAGGGAGGGTATAGACACCAGAACTGCCAGAACTGACTGCTTCCAACATGGAGGAGCAGTGACCCTGACTTCACCACAAAGTACTTATCTGCTCATCAGCATACTAAAAATCACACCCCTTGGCACCAGGACAGTTCTGAGAGTGACCCTCAAAAGACAAAAAGAGGGTGTTTCCCAGAAATCCCCTCCCACTCCAAGAAAACCCCACGTAACCTGATGAGTATTCCACCTCTGCTTCAACTCCAGCTATAAGACCACTGAACCTGAACCCCATGAGCTGTTCACCTCTGGGGCATCCCTGCACTCCCTCCTGGAGTGTGTACTTCACCTTCTTAAACTGCTCTTTGCTTGTACTTGCATGACCGGCTTGTGAATTCCTTCCCCATCAGTCAAGAACCCTCCCACGAGTTGAGGTCTTACCTAGCAGGCAAGGAGACCTCCCCAGACTGGATTGCCCACACCATGAGGACACGCCCCATTTGAGATGGGGGAGTCAGTAGGAAAAGTATATGGTGCATCTTTAATGTTCTCACACACTTAGAGTTGAGTATTCTAAAATTTGCGAATCTGGAATTTAGGAATTTGCCTGTCTCACTTTTTTAACTGATCTTCAGTGAGAATCATATGCATATCCCACACTATCGATTACTACTTTATCAATATTAAGGGTTTTTTGCCTCTTGAAGGAGCTCTTATTCAAAAAGCCCTAAATTTTAATCACCTCTCAATAATTACTTAATACATAAAAACACTTCAAGTGTATTCAAGTAAAACTGAAATGTTAGAATGTTGGCGATATCCATTCACCAGCCTTGTGATAAGATCTAGCCTTTATGGCATCTGAGTGAATTAAAATTCACAACCCAGGAAAACTAAATTATGACATGCCAAAGATTCTGGGAAGGGATGTGATGGCTGGACTGAGCTCTAACTTTGGCTCTGACATCTTCCAGCTATGGGACCTTACCACGGGCAAGAATTAAACGAAAATTACAAGGAGGTGCTCTCTTAAAACGTCAGGTTCCTCTCCTGCTCTATTCCTTTTCTCCTCCTTTCACTTTTTTTTTGTTGTAAAAATACTAAATTGGTTGTTGATTCCCATTAAAGTAGCAAGGTTATCTAGGACTCTGGACACAGGGAATCCAGCTCAGATGCAACCGAATGAAACAGTAATTTAGGAGACCATTTACTTTCTCTCACTGCTGCTAGGCAAAACATCCTTTTTCAAACTATCATCCATGTGGGAGAACCATACTTTATAGTCTCTCCAAAGATGGGCGTTCTACAACCTCCCTCAGGTATGGAAAACGACTCTTTCATAATCAAACTGGCCTGCCTTGTGCCTTCTTTTTCATCCTCCTATTGAAATAAAAAGCCCACTTCCGCCTGGTGTACACAGGATGAAACTGGATTAACTTAACTGACAAATCATGTCTGTTCATTGATTTTGTTATTCCTAAAATATCAGACCTCACTTGAAAATGTTTCTTCTTTGTATATATCTAATGTTGGGTAAGATTTTAGCTATATCATCAGCTTTAAATTCTGCTGTGTAGGCCCTGGCAGTTGTCTCTATAGTGAAGAAAGAGCTTTTTTTTTTTTTCACTAAGACAGAGAGATTAGGATTTTACCAGGTATTAGTTGGGTAAGACTGATAATATATGCATGTGAGCTTAACTCCCTGCATCCAAAGTCCTTTGATATTTGATATATATATATATATCTCAAAGCATGCAAACCATTTCTGTTGATTATTCCCATACAAATGACATGCAATTAACCTTTTCATTTCAAATGGTCTGAAAGTACTATAAAGCTATTTATGCCCTGTCATCACAACCAAGGAAGTTCTATTATGTGATGGTACAGTGTAGCCATGTGTAGTACGGCCTCCAGGGAGGAGGCTGATATAAAATACAAACATTTAAGAATTTAGAAACACAAAAAAATAGGTTAGCACCACCAAGCAGCAATCAGAAAAAATCCACAGATTCCTGGATATGAACAGGCAGGTTCCACATAGTTTTCAAGGGGCCTAAATTCATTTTTCCACAGATGACAGCATGTGGGGAAAGGTGCTCAAACTTGGGATTGCCACACCAGTTCCTGCCCCTACAGGCACACTGCAGATGTTTCCTAAAGATAGCCACCTAAGCTGATGAATGACACTCTTATTTCTGCTTGCCAGGAGTAACTAAAAGCAAATCTCACAGTTTGTTGTTTAGCATTTTTTAAAAGCATGTTAATTTGTTTCAATTTTTTATAAAAATGTAGAAGTGATGAGTGATCCAGTAGACAAGACAGTAGACAATTCACCTAGACCCAGATACCAGAGAAAATAGGACTTGCAAGTCAATCCTTGATCTTTCCTCACTGCTTCTAACATTCCCCCAGCTTTTACCTGACAGTTGGAGCTCTCTGGGAGCCTTGGCATTTTATTGTTGCCTTCCAGGGCTGGGCTAGCTGTGTCCTGGGAAGGTCAACCCAACCAATTAGAGGGCAGCATATAAACCTCACAAAACAAGATTCAGATGCAGGACAGGCAACAAAGTGGCTATAATGTAAACAATATCATTCCAAAGAAAAGAGGACACCTGGGATTTCTAAAGGAGATGGTGTTCTCATTGTAACAGAAATCAGTCTAAGAAGAGTATTTTTATAGGCTAGTATAGGATTTAGGGCTCAGTTACCCAGCTTCTGATAAAACAGCTTAGGTTGCTACATCATACTTTCTGACTTTCACTGGGGGAATACCTCTAGAAAGCAGCCTTTTGTTTGGTGTCTTGACATCCTAGATAATCTAGGGTTTGATGAAAAAACGCTGGTTAGATTTGGGGAGAGAAAAGTTTGGGTTTCTTGGGTAAAAGGAGCTGAGTTGCTGGATTGGTGGAGACTTAAGTTCAATTTTTCCTCTTCATCCTGCTGTCACTCAAACTGAGCACAGTTCAGTGTTACCCTGACACTGCTTCTCATTCTAATGAGCGTACTGCCATGCCTTCAGGGAGATACTGAGTGAGTCTGGAGAGTGGGAAAAGCAGAGTGGGAGTCCGCCTAAGTGGTCTCAGGGGACCCTCAGCCGGGAAGGGACGTTATAAGAGAAACAGTACACAGGCTGGGGAAACGGACACTGAAGGTTCTCCCAGAGAAGCCTCTAAGAGGTCAGCCTAGTGGGCAGCAAATAAGGGGAAGTTCTAGAACACAGGGCTTAGGGACCCCAGCCAAATCTGTGATCTTTTGCAAGCTAGGAATGTGGGTTCCTTTTACTTATGTTCTGGGAATGTCCCCATCTTTCTCTGCAAGCTCTCTCTTGAGAGAGCTCAGTTACTCTTTCTCTACTCTTTCAGTAGGGTTTGAATAGCTTATATGGACATGATAACATCATGTATTTTAGAAAAGGCATGAGTCTTCTATCCAATTTGCAGGTTAACATACAAATGTATTACATCGTATGCTCTAGTCAAGAATTCTTAGAAGGAACTTCTATAAGTGTTTCAAGACTGTTGATTTAACTTCTACTGAAGACAAATGAATGATGGGCATTAAGATGAGCCTCTCTGGTGTGTCTGAAGCAAATAAAACTGCTAAAAAAGGAATTACTTTCACAGC